AGGGAGCAGTTAGGTATCAATCAGGCTGGCAGGAGGGTGATTAGGGGGTGATCAGGCTGACAGGTAGAAGCAGTTAAGGGCAATCAGGCAGGCAGGTGAGCAGTTGGCAGCCAGCAGTCCCAGATTGGAGAGGGTGCAGGCTGGGCTGAGGCAACTCTCCCCAGCCCCCAGTGCCTCTAGTAAGATTACATTCAACACAAGTAAACTTTATACCTACCTAGTCTATGGGCTAAGAAGTCAAATTAACTAAATATGACAGAATCACCTATCAGAGTTTATATGCAGCCCAAGTTCCTTTGCTATGAGTAAAAGGCAAGAAATTTGGTCCACTGCTTTATGAAAACTACCTTGGTTTCTCACAAGGCCAGAGTTCTTTATGGAAAGCTTGCTTATGTTTCAGATAACTTAAGTATTTGACTAGAAAGAATGTGGGGTTAATACAAACAAACTAAAAGAGCAATTTATGCAGTTAGCTGGTCTGGGCCTATGCCCTGAAAAAAATCTGAGCATTCAGGAATTCCTTCTGAGAATATGAATAAATTCCTACCTCAAAATTCCTACTGGAGAGTTCAAGGCAATGCCTCTTACTCCCTAGGAATATGGTCCTATTCCCTTTCCTACAGAAACCAAACTGGCAAAGGGCCAGGGTGCTGAATGTATACTGGCAAGAAATCCAGCCTGAAAGACCTGGGTTTCCACCCCCACCAGTCCAATATTAACTACTTGTGCAAACTTGAATCACTTTCCAAACCACTATAACCTTGCATAAAGTAGGCATTATTTTCCCACTTCTTCAAAAGGCTGCTATTAGAATCCAAATCTATATCTAAATCAAGTATGAAAGCACTCTATAACCTGAAAAGCACTCTACTGATATGTCTTCAATAATCCAAGCTGAGACTCATTATAGGTGTGACAGATTGGTGAAAATTTAAAGAGAAATCTGCGATTTTCAACTTATTGTCACCAAATGAGCCAATGCCTCAAAGATCCATAAAGAGTTTACATCTTGCCGTAACCAGTTTGGCTCAGTGGATAGAGCGTTGGCCTGTGGACTGAAAGGTCCCGGGTTCGATTCCAGTCAAGGGCATGTACCTTGGTTGCAGGCACATCCCCAGTAGGGGGTGTGCAGGAGGCCGCTGATCGATGTTTCTAACTCTCTATCTCTCTCCATTCCTCTCTGTAAAAAAATCAATAAAATATATTTTAAAAAAAAAGATACCAACAATGACCCCAAACCGACTGTTCTACCCCGGACC